TGCGTGCTGCCTCTTTGACAGCTTGCTGCACAACAAGCACGGAATACTAGTCTTCCTTTTCAGAGAGAGAGAGAGAGAAAGTGTGTGTCAGTGTGTGTGTGTGTGTGTGTGCGCGCGAGTGAGCGACAGAGAGAGAGAGAGAGAGAGAGAAAGAGAGATATTTCTTTGGGCTAGAAAAAAAGAAAACAGCTCCTAATATACCATATATACTCATGTATAAGCTGAGTTTTCAGCACATTTTTAATGCAGTTTTTGTGGTAAAATTAGGTGCCTCGGTTGATATTCAGATAGGCTTATATTCGAGTCTATACAGTAGGTCTTTCATAAAAAGAGTGGCTGAAAGCAAATATCAAACATTGGGGGGAGTGGGTGGAGGGTGGGTGGTACATGTGGTTATAGACAAGCTGTGTCTGCTCCTTGGAGAAGTGATTGATTCCACATGGGGACAAAACATGGAACTGTTGTTGTCAAGTCATTTCAGGCTCATGTGGACCCCATGTGTTAAAGATCTGGACTGAGATCCTTAGGGTTTTCTTGACTGTAGTCTTCATGGAAGCAGACAACCAGACCTTGTTTCCACAAAGCTGTGAACGGTTTCAAACCACCAGCCTTTTGGTTAGTAGTGGAGCACAAACCTTTTTTGTCACCAGGACCCTCAGGCTGAGATGGAGAAAGGGTTGTGTGAGTTTGGAAGATCTTGTTTTGATCAAGTGCTCAAAAACTGTGGGGTTATATCAAAAGAATACAAGATCAAGCTTGAAGGGATTCCCATTGGTCAAATCTGGAACCATTAGAGCAATTCAAATTAGTAAGGTCAGGCACCGATTATAGTGTATTGAAAATCCAGACAGAAAGTGTGGAGAAGGAAAAGGAAGAAGAAAGAAAGGAGAGAGGAAGTGAGAAAAGGAATCAAAGAACAGGAAGACACTTGTTTACAGAAAAGTGTCAACTAATAAATATAGAATGTGTAGTAGTTACATATTCTGTTGTCAATTTGAGACTTAAGAATGAAGGGGTGGAGTTTAGCCTGTCAATGAGGTCGCAGCTTGATGACCTCATTTGGAGGTGCTAAGGAGATAAATAGCTCATTGGAGGCAGGACAGAAGCTCACGCCCTGAGAGACTTTCTTGTTGACAAGCCGCATGGAAACAGGCTGATGGCAGCCAGAGCCTCGAAGTTGGAGACCCAAGTGGAGACCCACATCAGGGCTGAGATGCTTCTACCACCACTGGATCCACAAAACTTTTCACCTACTGGGCTGTGATCTTCCTGAATTCGTTGTCATTGCATGGCTGTATTAGTCTAAAGAGGAATTTATGGACTAGTATATAGTTCAATATATGGGGCAATATTGAACTTATGGACTTGATCTGGAATTGATGGACTAGTAACGACATATGGGGTAATATGGGATTTCTGGACTTGATCTGGACTGGTCTGGGATGTTTTCTCAATGTATAATTGCTCTTTGATATAAAACTCTTTTATACACATGAATGTCTAAAAATTTGTTCATCTAGTCTACCCAGACTAACACAGAATGATAGAAGCAGAAAAGCACTTTAAAACCCTGTAGAAACAAATGATTCAGGCTATGATTTACTAATAGGTAAAGAAGTTACGTGGTGAGAGACAGTTGGGACAAAGCATATTCACTCAAAGCCACATAAGATTAGGTATCATTTAAAGAGTATTGTAGAATGTTAAGTTTCCTCTCAATTGCATTGGGCTTATTGAGAATGGACTTGTTTTCAAAATATAGTACATGTTGAAGGTTTGAGGGATAAAGCATTGTAATGCCTCCAAATAGCTCCCAAATGCTTCCACAGAAAACCAAAACAAAGCCGAAAGAGAGACAGCAAAACTGGCAAAGTGTTAGCATTTGGCAGCAAAGTCCCATGACTAAGGGAGACCTGTGTGTGGCAGAGTAGAACTGTGTTCCACGGAATATTTAATGACTGATTTTTTTTTTAAAGGAGATTGCCAGGCAGTTCTTTGGTGGCACCTCTGGCTGCTCTCAAATCTCTGTTTTGTCAGCAGCTGAGAGCACTACCTACTGGTACCACGAAGGGACATATATGGGGTCACCAAAAACTAGAATCGACACAACAGCAACTGATAATTGGTGTGAAGATACATAGGCATTCACTGTTCCATTCTTATTACTGTCCCGACGATGTTTACGTATTCGAAATAATAAGCTGAGATGAGAAAGCTAGGTGGAAATTCTAGCTTCATCTTCATGTAAAGTCTTGGTATGATGCACAAGCTAAGAAAAAAAATTCACCTTGACTTAAAACCAAAGCACCAAAACATTCTGTATCGTTAACCTCAAAAGCCTTGAGAGCCACTGAAACTAAGTCTGAACTTCTCTGGAGTAGCTGTGTCCCCTGGGCCACCCCAGGCACAGATACATAATCGCCTGTGAGAAATAAATCGATGAGGCAAAGGCTACCCCAAGTGCCTCAATCTATGGTTCTTTAGTATTCCAGAACAAAATGCCTCTCGGAACATTCCAAATGAGAGAACAAGATGAGAGACCCTTGGAGTTGGTGGTGTGCCACTGAGTTTAGAAAGAAAAAAATGGCTGAGAGTTACCCTTTTCACTGTTTTCAAGGGCCCAAGACTGGCTGAGTTGGTGCCTATTTTTTCAAAAAGAGGCTTTAAGCAGGGTTTGGCAGATGGGCAGTGCCAAGCCCCTGTTGTTCTTCCTGGCCTGCAGAGTGACAGAAATGTTGGCTTAGGTGCCAACGTTTAGAAGTCAGGAGAGTTAATATAAATCAATATTTCCAGCTTCTTGAAAAACTGGAATATCTGGCTGTGCTGGTTCCACGTTCCCTTGGCAACAACCCACCAGAGCTGGCATCAGCCTCTCTGTCCACGTGGATAGGCCGTGTGGCCTCCACTTCCTCACAGACCCATCAGTCTATCTTCTACCTTATACATGTCTTCACGGATGCACTCATTTCTGTTTTAAGCAGGTCTCCTTGTGTGTGAATACCTGAATACTATAATTCCACAAGGTTGGCAGTGCGGGCAACCTGGAGGGAGCAAGCTTGTGTTGCATGAGTAAGCATCCCTGTGGTGTAAGGTCCAAAACTGTTGAGGCTTACAACAGGTTATGTTCTGCGTAGCTTTTATAGGTTCACGGCAACACCATCCAAGTGGTTACTCACATGCCCATCATTGGTGGACACAGTAAATGCATGGACGGGCTCTGGATCAGATCATAAGGGCTGCTTTCTGCCATCGGTTAACTCTATGGATGTGAGCAAATTCTGAAAGCGGTATTCCCCTATTCTCTTACCTGGAAACTAGGAAGAGCAATCACGCCTATTCATGTTGTTCTGTAGGTTTCTTGGTAAGTAGCTGAAACAATGTTTAGAAGAGTATAGGGCCCTTAGTATTTTATTGAACTGTTTACTATGATTACCATGGTTATTGTGATTATGATCTGTCTTCATGATTCACAGGTTCCATGTTTGTGAATAAGAACGATTTAAGACTATTTATTTGTAACCCAGATCCGGGGCACCTTTGTGTTCTTCCGTGGGCAGGGCCAGAGACAAACCATTTGAGTTGTCTGGTGCGTGTGTCCCCAGCTCTATTCAATCAATGGAACACCGTCTTCTTGGTTGAGCTCTCATGCTCCAAACATGTATTCTTCCCATGGTCTATGCGTGTGGTGTTACTAGGTACCATCGAGGCAGGTCTGATTCATAACGGCCGTACAACAGAAGGAAACACCACCCGGTCCTGTATCATCCTCACAAGTGTTGTTATGTGTCCATGTAGCCCCACGTTTTTTGAATTTTTGTGGGTTTTGTTGGCAGTTTTGTCTTTTAAAATGGTCCCATGTGTAGTGTCTGTGTGATAACCAGAGTTCCTACGTGGAAGAAGGCTGTCCTGTGCCTTATGAAGATAGTACATTCAGGCACAAGTTATAGTGCTGTTGGCCATGAGCACAGTGCTCAGGCGTCAACAATACATGTGTTGAATAAGATGTCTTTTAAACAGAAACACAAAAACAAGTGTACTGTATGTGCTGATAGGTTGCGAAAATGGTATAATCAGAGCCCCTCAGGGGAGATTACCCTTGCATTTCCTCTGGAGAAATGAATCAGTATTTGCTAATTCAATGTTCACATAACTACCAAGAGTAACAAGACTCAACTGGATTTTGATTTGATTTTAGCTTTGTCCAAATTTTGAAAAGTCTTAAGTAGTTTCCATAGTGGGAAGAGTTTTGGACAAAGAGGGAAGCCTTTCCCAGGTTCTAGGCCCAGATCTCTGCCACCCAGCTGTAAGACCTAGACAGTATTTCTTTAGACCACCCTCACTTAATAAGCCCTACAGTATAAACCAGCCTTCTAGGTTAGTCAGGGAGACTGTAAGCTCAACACCTCTGCAGAAAATGCATGCCTAGTTTTCACTATGTCAAAGATCCAGAACAGGCTCTTGGAGCTCTAAGCGTTAAACTCATTCAACTTATTCAGGCAAGAAAATATTAAAATCCACTTGATCCTTTCAAACACACTGTAGATTTACTGGATTAAGACCAGATACATCCCAATTCCCCTGAGATTAGAAGAAATCCTAGAGGATTGAAGAATACTCCTCAAATATTAGAAAGACTTGCTCTGTATTGACATAGGGGATTGCCTGAAACTAGGGCAATGACGAAAAGCTGGAGAAAAACATCTTAATCCAAGTGTTTGTCTCTGAAATTGATACTATTTTGTGATAAAGAACTGGTGAGACTCTTCATGGTTTTTATATGTAAGTAGAAAAGGGAGAACCATAGATGGAATTTTAAAAGCAGATGAAATTACAGAGTCATTAAACTGACAGTATAGGTAATTTGCCCTCATTACCACTTCTATCTGAAATCAATGTCACTGTACAATTTTCTTCTGCATTGTTGATTAAGGAGCATGACATATAAAATAAGAGCATGAAATATTCATGTATTTTATAGAAAGTAAGAAAAATCCACTTACCCAAGGAAGGCTCAGCCATAGTAAGGTTTACAGCGGCAGACATGTGAGCTTGCAGACCCTTGGCATTTGCCACGCAAGTCAAGGTCCCGTTGCCTTTTGGAGTCAGTGAGAGGATGCTCATTGCACTTTGGGGGTTGTCAGGCTCCGGATAGGAGGAATAGCTGGAATGGCTTACTGGAACATTGATCTCCCAGACAATATCTGGGAGTGGGACCCAGCCCACTGCGAGACAAGTTACATTACAGGGCTCATCCTCAGTGACTTCCAGATTGCCACTGGGAATGAACAACTCTCCCATAACTGGAGGAGAAAAAGAGAAAGAAAGAAACACGCCAAAGAAATCATAGTCACCCTCAGTTCCAGGTGTTCTTGTTTTGTTTTGTTTCTTCAAATAATATTTCACGAGAGACATCTTCCCAAGTTGAGAGAGGGGGTGAATGTCATTGGGAAGCCTTCATGCAGGTTTTATGTGTCTCTTTATTTAAACTGGCCAATTTCACAGGAGAAACCCTGGTGGTGCTGTGGGATATGAATTGGACTGCTAACCACAAGGTCCATCGTTCAAACCTCCCAGATGCTTCTTTGGAGAAAAGTGAGACTGTCTGCTCCCACAAAAACTATATAGTGTCAGGAACCATAAGGACTCTATGCTTTAGGGTCACTCTGAGTCAGAACCCGCCTGATGGCAGTGGGTGATTTCACTGCAGGTGGTGATTTCACACACAGTTACGGAGAAAATGAGTGAAAAATCTGGAGTCCGGGGGAATACGCAATAAGGGCTATACCCAATCACTGAAGCAGAATTGCAAATTCTATCAGACTGTCCTATGAAGTCAACCCTTCTCTTCTTTTCAATGTCACGATAATTCAGCCCAGAACCCCATGGAAAACAATCTTTTCCTGGCATTTGGTTAAACCACTGGCTATAGAGTCAACTCGGCTCCTGGCAACCCCTTGTGCATCAGAGCAGAGCAGTATTCCCTGGGGTTTTCAATGGTTGGCTTTTTACAAGTAGATCACTGGAATTTCTGCTGAGGTACCTCTGGCTACACTCCAACCTCCAGCCTTCCACTGAGCAGTCAAACAACTTTTTGCACTATGCAGGAGTATGTGGTAAGATTTCTCTCTCTCTCTGTCTCTCTGCCTATATCTATTAGGTCATACATTAAAATAAAATACACACAAAAACATAACTTATTACAATGAGGTCTTAAAGCATTTTTTCTAGTTACAAATTAAATCAGAATCTAATCATATAATTACAGAAATAACTAAGCCCAATCATATCCTACTCAGATAAATTATTGGAAAGTTTTTTAATCAGAAATCTCCTGTATATTTCAACATGCACATTGTAGATAGTCTGGCTAGAAAGAACTCTTATGGCCAGAACATATCAAATACCTGAGTGTTGGCCCTACTAAAGACATAGCCACAGAGAAACATACAGTAACATGTCAAATTTGAAATGTTCTAAAGCTCCTTGGTACAGAACATAATGGAAAGAATGCCAAATGAAAGATCAACTGCTTTGTCAGTGCTGCCTCAGCGACAAAATTACCATTGCTTAGGTAAGTCATTGCTTCTTTTTTCCTCCTCAATTTTCTACCTATCAATTAAGATAATTGAATAAATCAATGATTTATAATTAAAATGTTACCATTTCAGGACTTCTTTAAACTCATAAGAATCATTGAGGATCCCTAAAATGTTTTATTTATGTTGGTTACATCTATCAATAGAGATCCTATTTGAAATTAAAATGAAAACTGTAAATATTTGCCTGTTTTAAAATCTTTTAAAAAATAGAATGACCTCCTGAGGGGCCGGCCCCAATCCCAACTATGTGGACACCTGTCCCTCCCCCCAGAAGAATTTATTTCAGAGGATAGCACTGAAACTGTAGCTCAGGGAGAAGGACATCTCTGATCAGAACACACGGGAGCAAACGAAGGTGGAGGAAGAGAGAGTGGATCACATCATGGCCCACCAAGCCTTGAGGGCAATATTCCCACTCAGAGCAGCCAATCCACAGAGAAGACCATATGGCCGGCCCCGCTATGAAACATGACATCCCTCACTGACCCACAGCCCTACAGGGGACAACACTGGAGACACAGTTTGGGAATGCCACTTGTTCTGATCCCTCCACACCGAGGCAAAACACTAAGGGTGTGTAACAGAACAGCAAGGGAAGCAGAGCAAACAAAATCCCCAGGGAATACCAAAAATGGACTTTGGGGCCAGGGCTTGGCACCCCATCAGACTCCACCAGAAAACACTCCTAAAGATCAACAAGCAGTCCTTAAATTAACTACAGACTTTTCTTTTTTGTTGTTGTTGTTTTATCATTGGCTTTATGCTGTTATTGTTTTGTTTTCTTTTGTTGCTTTGTTTTTGTGCATGTTATTATCTCTGCAGGTCTGTCTGAATAAGATAGGCTGGATGAACAATCTGGAGGAGAATACAATGGGACCAACGGTTCCAGGGCGACATGGGAGAAGGGGAGGTGGGGGGAAAGGAAGTGGTGTTAACAAACCCAGGGACAAGGGAACAACAAGTGATCCAAATCGGTGG